GTCTGTTATGGGCTGACTTGTGTCCCCCTAAAAGATATGTTGAAGTCTTAACCCCTGACCTGTGAATGTGACTTTGTTTGGGAAATAGGGTTTTTCTTTTGTTATCAGTTAAATTAAAGAAGGTCATACTGGAGTAGGGTGGGTCCTAATCTTAGTATCTGCTGAGTGGTGTCATAAAAGGGGAGAACAGACATGAAAACGCAGTCTCACAGTGGGAAGACATCATGTGAAAATACATCTTCAAGCAGCAAAGGAACGTTAAGGATTGCCAGTAGCCACTAGAAGCTAGGAGAGAGACACGGAACAATTCCTCTCTGAGCGTCCTCAGAAGGAATCGACAAGGCTGACACCCTGGTTTGGACTTCTAATCTCCAAACTGTGACAAAATAAATTTCTCTTCTTCAAATCCCCCACTTTGTGGTATTTTGTTATGGGAGCCCTAGGATACTAAGACAGTATCTCTAAAACATACTGACGACAACATTGCAATGCCTAAAAAAGGTGTTCAAATTTTCCTCACTGCTTTTTTCTAAAGTTATTTGTTTAATATAAATAAATTCCATATATTGCAATTGATTAATAAGTCTCTTTTAATTAATAAGTCCTCCCTCTATCACTCTTTTTCCCCCTCCCTTGGAGGGAGGTTATATGTTCTGCAGAATTTCCTACAGTCCATTTCTTATAGCTACTAATTAATTATTAATTGATATAAATTATTACAGATTGATTACTGAAGTAGAAGTAAAAGAAATGTGAATGTACTGGAGCCAAAAAAGTACACTAGAGGACCACATCAACTATGACCAGCTACAGAATAAAGACACTACTTGTTAGTAAACTAAAGAGAAGGAAAGGGAAAGCCTATAGAACAAGAACTGTTCCATGGCTTAACTATGTAAATATATGATCATATCTTGCTTTTCCACCAAAGGACATTAAAATGCTAATGAAGTAAAAATCATAAGTGTATAGTATAAATAGCAAATCTGATAGTACTCACCAGTCTTCATTTCTAATAAGCGCTTTTTCTTTTGCTGGCGTTCACGTCTTTCTTTCTCTGCTAACTCTTTGGCTATTCTGGCACGTTTTTCTTTTTCCTCTGCTTCTTTTCTTTTGATGTTCTCCTTTATTGCTTGCTATTACAAATAAATTTAGAAAAATAATTAATTTTAACCACAGTGTTTCCACAAAAAAAGGAAAATTATTAACCTGAAATTATACTATAACTATGAATAACTGTCTTTTAGATAATAGTTACTTCTTACATTAGTAATAGTCTTTTAAAAGATACAGACATAAACCCTTGTTAAATATATTAAATACCTATAACTTATGTTTAAAACTTCTGAATCTTAGTGGAATCAACTAAGGGAAAGGAGGAAAACAGAAACTAAAAATACAAAAGCATATAATTCACAAATCAAAACTGTTTTCTCATATACTTTTCCAAAAGAGTGTCTAGAAATTGTATTAGAGTGTCCCATACCTCCTGTGCCCAGTAAATTATTGGATATAAGAAAAAATAACTGAGGAAATAACAGAGAAGAACTCTGAATATTTGACATTTCAAAAGGGGAAGACACCACATGAAGATACATCTATAGGCAGAAAAGGACTGCCAAGGAATGCCTGCAGCCACTAGAAGAAAGAAGAGAGACATGGAAAGTTCCTCCTTCAAAGCCTCAAAATGGCTGTTGACTGTTCATAGAAACCAGTAACAACATACTAACCATAGGAAGATTTCAACCGATGTAAGATTTACTCATTTAATTTCTTATTTTCTAAGTTTTATACAAATCAGGAAATCCCTCTCAAGTGGCATTAGTGGGAGTTAGTAGGTAAACATGGATTTTTGTAAGTGCCAACAAACGGCATGGAATTGCATTATGATTGCCTATATATGGATCAGGCACATTTTAAATGTCAATGAAACCTAGACAGGTTATCACTTTGCTATTTTTTTTACCAGTGGTATTAAATAGAAAAGTGTATAATTAAACTATAACAAGGAGGTAGCTTATGTTATTCTTTGGAATGTTTTAATTTCTTCTTTGTTGCAGCATTCTTAGTTTTTTAACCCTAGAGATAATACAAGTTCTTCATTAGAAATCAAGAATAGAGGTTAATATTATTGTCCGAAACAACAAAAGGAAAAGTACAAGGAAAAAAAGGAGAGACATAAAAAGCTGAGTAGAGGGAATATTAACTATTCATCTATTCATTTAACAAATACTGAGAAAGTACTAAATGATACTGTTTCAAGGTCTTCAAGTATTTATGTATTTAAAACAAATTTACGTTCTATGTGGCAGAGACAGGAGGCAGAGGCAGGCAATAAACAACAACAAATAAACGATACAGTATGATGAAAAAAAAAGAAACTAGAATAATGTCACAGAATACCTTGGGGGTTACTTCACGATGGTTGGTCAGGTAAAGCCTCACTCTCTGATTTGACATTTAACCTAAATCTTGAATCGAGCTAGGTAGTGATGATCTGAGGGAAGAACACACCAGACAGAGGGAATCCCTAATGCCAAGGCTGTTGGAGGTTTGAGAGATACAACAAAAGGCAAGTATAGCGGTACATGATGACGTTAGGGAGGTAGGTTGAGGCCTGATAATCTAGGATCTTCTAAGCCCTGCTGGCGCAGTGGTTAAGTGCTCGGCTGCTAACTGGAAGGTCGGTGGTTCGAACCCACCAGCTGCTCCCTGGGAGAAAGATGTGACAATCACTTTTGGTAAAGACTACAGCCTTGGAAACCCTATGGAGGAAGCAGTTCTACTCTGAACTATAGGGTCACTATGAGTCAGAATTGACTGGACAGCAATGGGTTTAAGCCAAGATAAGCGGTTTGGATTTCATTTTAAGATAATCGGAAAACCAGTGGAGACTTTCAAACATGAGAGTGTGAAACCAAGCATTCTTAGCACTCATCAAGCAACTCTGTTCCAAACTATCTTTTCAAAGATGTTTGTACAATGAACAAGCTTCGAAGATAGACATAGAGTCTATCTTCAGCAAATGGATTTGTGTATTGTCCAGTATAATAATGTCTCCCTTTGGGGCTTAGGTCAAAAAGGCTTATTGCCCATTAGTTCAGGTTCCTCTCTAGTAGCACAACTCATGATGAACACAGGTGTTACCTGGCTCTCTTTGTGTTGCCCTGTGGGAATCTGGGCTCAGGAACCTACAAAAGCGAAGATACTCTGGCTACTGCTATTGCTGTTAGTAATAAACTGTTTTGTCTTTGGCCCCACAAGGTTGCGTCTTCTGCAAGCACGCATAAATCCATGGCAGGCTAATGTGTTAGCTTGGCACTAGGTAAAATCTCAGATCCTTCACGGTTCTTGAAATTTATTAATACAAGTTATTATTAGTAAGCTATGAAATATTACTTAATACTAGATGTTTTAAAATATAATCATGCCAGTCTTCAAAATGGATTCTATATTCTCCATTCTGACATAAAATGGTGAAGCAATTGTTTCCTGTAATAAAACTACTAAGAGGCAGAGGCAAGATTGGAAATCTAGCTACAGTCTGTTTTTTCCACCATGTTGCTTCATATTATGGTATCACATGTTAAGTGGCAGTTTATGAGACAAAACGTGCTATAAAAATCAACAGGGGGTAGGAAGGCAGAAGAAGCCATCATAAACACAGAATATAAGGAGTGCAAAGACAAGTGTCTATATCTGTATGTGTGTGTGCATGTGCACCTGTGTATGTATGCATGCATAAGGGAGATGTGATGAGAAGACTGGATTATAGTAGAGAAAAAAATAAGCAAATAGTAAGGAATCAAAATTGTATTTCTTGCTTGAGGGAAATAATGTATCATGTAACTTATTTATGAATCTTATTTGTTAAAGTCTAAACTTTTCTGATGTGAATTTTCTACTTTAATGACTGGATGCATTTCAATGTGAGCTTTTAATAGACCTCTCAGTACCAGATATAATTGCCACATCCTTTTAGTATATCATTGGATAGTAAATAGTCAAAATTACTTTCCAGGACCTATAAAAATAACATTTACGCTTAGAAATAAGGTCTGAGATAGTTCTTAAAGTTATTTTGTTTTATGGAAAACACACTATTGATTTTCATTTAAAACCTCATCTTATTTAAAACATATCTTATTCTGACTTTATAACTATTTGGAGAACAATGTTAGTTTTAAAAATACCAATGGACAGCATAGAAATAGGTATTTATTCTGAAACTAATATTCCAGTTCAAACAGTAATCTGCTATTTTTTTTTTTTTAATTCTAAGAAGTAGTCTAAAACAGAAAAACTAAATGGTTAGAGAAACACATTATTCTAGCTATAATTGCCTCTTAGTTACTTAGTCCTAAATACAAAGCCAAGGAGGAAATTTAAGAGTGAACCAGACATAAAGATAGTTGGCTATAAAACATTGATTTTTTTTTTTTTTTTTTAAATCTTATTACTCTTGACCTGGTTTTCTATTTAGTCAATTGCCAAATAAACTGCCTGCCACTGATTACTTTCAGCTATGTATTGCCTAAAGAAATTCTCTGAGTGTTTGCAGAATTCCTGAGATAGAACCTCGTACATGTCCGTCTCTGAAAGGTTTGGGGGCTTACCAGCCCACAGCAATGACTGCAGAGGGTTTCAAAACTTCAGGCACATTTTTGAGTGTTCATTTCAAGGGAATCAATAACTTATCTGAGTTCCTTATACTCAAATGCTTTTTATGATTGACAGCAGATTGTATATTATCTATATAAAAATACATAGGTATATTAAAAATATATGTATACTAAAAATATAGAGAGATATGTTAACAAATATAGGAGCTCTGGTGGCACACTGGTCAAGCACTCAGCTACTAAGAGAAAGGCCAGCGTTGGAACTCACCAGCCAGTCTGCAGGAGAAACACGTGGCAGTCAACTTCCATAAAGATTTAAAGACTCAATGGCAACAGGTGTGGTTAACAGATATATGTACGTGTGTATATATGTGTGTGTACATATATATATATATATTTTTCCTGGAAGTAAACCATATGAGTTCACAGTTATCCCCACCCTCCATGATTTGTTTTCTACATAACTAATGTTATAACAAGAACTTTGCCACAACTACTTTAAATATACATGATACCATTATATACGATATTTTCTTCTCAGAGAAAGCAAAATTTCCCCAAGAAGTAAATTTAAATCAGCGTGTGTGTGTGTAAAATTTAGAAGTGTCTGGCAGAGAGTAATGCTCTATAAGTTTTGGCAATTATTATCAGAATCATTATCTTTGAGTTTTATGAAAATATGTAGACATCTGTGACTTGCTTTATTTACAACACTATGTTTCTCAAAAGGCAGTCATTTGAATAGAACAAGGGGATAATGCATAGTTTAAAATTAGGAAAGGTGTATGTCAGGGCTGTATCCTTTCACCATACTTATTCAATCTGTATGCTGAGCAAATAAGCCAAGAAACTGGACTATATGAAGAACGCAACATCAGGATTTGAGAAAGACCCATTAACAACCTGCGCTATGCAGATGACACAACATTGTTTGTTGAAAATGAAGAGGACTTGAAGCACTTACGGATGAAGATCAAAGACTATAGCCTTCAAGATGGTTTATACCTCAAGATAAAGAAAACAAAAAACCTCACAACTGGACCAATAAGCAATATCGTGATAAACAGAGAAAAGACTGAAGTTGTCAAGGATTTAATCTAACTTGGATCCACAAACAACGCCCACGGAAGCAGCAGTCAAGGTATGCCCGACTCAAGCCGTGATACTTTCAATCACCTCATATGCATGCAAAAGCTGGACAATGAATAAGCAAGACCAAAAAAGAACTGATGGCTTTGAATTACGGTGTTGGCGAAGAATACTGAATATACCATGGACTGTCAGAAGAGCAAACAAGTCTGTCTTGTAAGAAGTACAACCAGAATGCTCCTTAGAAGGAAGGATGGCAAGACTATGTCTTAACATACTTTGGACACGTTCTCAATAGGGATCAGTCCCTGGAGAAGGACATCATGCTTGGTAAAGCAGAAGGTCAGCGAAAAAGCCCCTCAACGAGATGGACTGACGTAGGGGCTGCAACAATGGGCTCAAAGATAGCAATGATTGTGAGGATG